CTGGGCCCTCCTGAAGCCTCCTGGGGCTTCCTGGGGGTCGCTGGGGCTTCTCCTGAGGCCTCCTGCGGCCTCCTTAGGCTTCCTGGGTCCTCTTCGGCTCGTGCTGAAATGCCAGCGCAGTCTTTGAGACGCGCCAGGGATTTCTTATCGGTAATCGGCATCGCGGCTGCATCAGCTGTGGCAAACCACCATGCCAATCAGATTTCGGTCCCCAGTTGCTTCAGCACTGTTTCTTATGTTGTGGGAGGGCGAGTGGGCATGGGCATGCCATGCTTGACTCGCTCGAGCTGGCTAGCTTCACTCCTACATACATGTCTACTCCTACTCCTACTACGACTACTCCTACTCCTACTCCTACTACGACTACGACTACTACTACTACTACTACTACTACTACTACTACTACTACTACTACTACTACTACTACGACTACGACTACGACTACGACTACGACTACGACTACGACCACTACTACTACTACTACTACTTCTACTACTAATACTACTACTACTACTACTACTACTACTACACATACTACTTTTACAACAACAACTACTACTACTACTACTACTACTACTAGTACTACTACTACTACTACTACTACTACTACTACTACTACTACTACTACTACTACTACTACTACTACTACTACTACTACTACTACTACTACTACTACTACTACTACTACTACTACTACTACTACTACTACTACTACTACTACTACTACTACTACTACTACTACTACTACTACTACTACTACTACTACTACTACTACTACTACTACTACGACTACTACTACTACTACTACTACTACTACTACTACTACTACTACTACTACTACTACTACTACTACTACTACTACTACTACTACTACTACTACTACTACTACTACTACTACTACTACTACTACTACTACTACTACTACTACTACTACTACTACTACTACTACTACTACTACTACTACTACTACTACTACTACTACTACTACTACTACTACTACGACTACGACTACGACTACGACTACTACTACTACTACTACTACTACTACTACTACTACTACTACTACTACTACTACTACTACTACTACTACTACTACTACTACTACTACTACTACTACTACTACTACTACTATACTACTACTACTAACTACTACTACTACTACTACTACTACTACTACTACTACTACTACTACTACTACTACTACTACTACTACTACTACTACTACTACTACTACTACTACTACTACTACTACTACTACTACTACTACTACTACTACTACTACTACTACTACTACTACTACTACTACTACGACTACGACTACGACTACGACTACGACTACGACTACGACTACGACTACGACTACTACTACTACTACTACTACTACTACTACTACTACTACTACGTCTACGTCTACGTCTACGTCTACGTCTACGTCTACGACTACGACTACGGCTACGACTACGCTTACGATTACGAATACTACTACTACGACTACTACCCTGCTGCTGCTGTTGCTGCTGCTGCTGCAACTGCTACCTGATACTACCAGTGCCACTGCTAATGCTACTGCTGCTGCTGTTGTTGCCGCTGCGACTACGATTGCCACCACGACTGCGACCAAAATGTTCACTGAGACTGCCGTACCCGTCTCGGCCCCGCTGCGGCGGCCTCGCGACTCCACGTAGCGCATGTTCTGGCTGAACCAGACGTCCCAGCTGCGCCGCTTGTCCGGGTCCTCCAGGAGATCGACCACTGCCTGGGCAGGGTCGTCCGCACAGAGAGGGGGCAAGGGATTATGCGGAGAAGGCCGAAGAGGAGAGAAGGAGAAACAGGGGGCCGAAGAGGGGAAGGCGGAGGCGAGGAGGGCAAGGGAGGACGGGAGTAGGAAGGAGAGAAGGGAGGAAGGACAGGGGGCGAGGGCCAGGCGAGATGCGCTCGCGCCATATCCGACATCCTACCCCATCCACCCATCCCTTCCATTCCCGTTGCGCTGTTTATCTTCTCTATCCGCCGACGCGCGTCATAGCGGGCCTGAAGCTCCACTGCCCTGGCGACGTCCCCAACCCCTGCGCAATGCGGGGCATGAGTAGCTTGGGAGACGTTATGCGGAGGCGATGACGTGACATGGGCGCATATACTTCTACGAGCGGCATTCGTGAGGGTCGCAGCGCCCCAGGGAATTCGAGGTCCCGCTCAGATCTGCGTGGTGCCTCACTCGCCATCAGCCTTCGAAAGTAGCGACGGTTTCGCAGATCGCAGCCCCCCAAGGACGGCGAGGTCTACTTTGGATCTGCGCGGTGCCTCATTCCGCTGGACCCGCCAGCAGCCCTTGAAAGTGGCGACGGTTTCGCAGATCGCAGCCCCCCAAGGGCGGCGAGGTCTCAGAGCTGTGCGGTGCCTCACTCCGCTGGACCCACCAGCAGCCCTCCAAGTGGTGACAGTTTCGCAGATCGCTATGCTGCTCCCCCAAGCAGCCCTCAAAGGGGCGACAGTGTCGCAAATCGCAGCCCCCCAGGGATGACGAGGTCTACTTTGGACCTGCGGCGGCTACCCACTACGCTGCCCCCCCCTCGAAAGTGGCGACAGTGTCGCAAATCGTAGCCCCCAGGGATGGGGAGGTCCACTTTGGATCTGCGGCGGCTAGTCACTATGCTGCCCCCCCAAGCCGCCCTCGAAAGCGGCGACCGTTTCGCAAATCGCAGCCTCCTGGGGATGGCGAGGTCTAATTTGGATCTGCGGCGGCTACCCACTATGCTGCCCCCCAAAGCAGCCCTCGACAGCGGCGACAGTTTCGTAAATCGCAGCCCCCCGGGATGGCGAGATCTAATTTGGATCTGCGGCGGCTACCCACCAAGCTGCCCCCCCCCCCCCCAGCAGCCCTCGAAAGAGGCGACAGTTTCGCAAATCGCAGCCCCCCAGGGATGGCGAGGTCCATTTTGGATCTGCGGCGGCTACCCACGATGCTGCCCGCCCCCCCAAACAACCCTCGAAAGCGGCGGCAGTTTCGCAAATCGCAGCCCCCCCCCCAGGAATGGCGATGTCTAATTTGGATCTGCGGCGGCTACCCACGATGCTGGCCCCCCAAGCCGCCCTCGAAAATGGCGGCAGTTTCGCAAATCGCAGCCCCCCCCGGGATGTCTAATTTGGATCTGCGGCGGCTACCCACGATGCTGGCCCCCAAAGCAGCCTTCGAAAGTGGCGACGGTTTCGCAGATCACAGCCCCCCGGGGGCGACGAGGTCGAATTTGGATCTGCGGCGGCTACCACCCACTATGCTGCCCCCCCCCCAGTAGCCCTCGAAAGTGGCGACAGTTTCGCAAATCGCAGCCCCCAAGGGATGGCGAGGTACACTTTGGTTCTGCGGCGGCCACCCACTATGCTGGCCCCCCAAGCCGCCCTCGAAAGTGGCGACCGTTTCGCAAATCGCAGCCCCCCCCCGGGATGGCGAGGTCCACTTTGGATCTGCGGCGGCTACCCACTATGCTGCCCCCCAAGCAGCCCTCGACAGCGGCGACAGTTTCGCAAATCGCAGCCCCCCCAGGGATGGCGAGATCTAATGTGGATATACGTTGGCTACCCGCTATGCTGGCCCCCAAAGCAGACCTCGAAAGTGGCGACAGTTTCGCAAATCGCAGCCCCCCGAGGGATGGCAAGGTCTAATTTGGATCTGCGGCGGCTACCCACGATGCTGCCCCCCCCAAGCAGCCCTCGAAAGTGGCGACAGTTTCGCAAATCGCAGCCCCCCCAGAGATGGCGAGGTCTACTTTGGATCTGCGGCGGCTACCCACTATGATGTCCCCCCCAGCAGCCCTCGATAGTGGCGACAGTTTCGCAGATCGGAGCCCCCCAGGCAAGATGCACACACAAGAGGTACCGCAGACAAGATGCATACACAAGAGGTACGCACAAGGCGGGAGGCGGGAGGAGGAGGAGAAGACGCGACGGCAATGCTCTATTCAAAAGGAATGCCCAACCAAGAAGGACTGGGAAAAAATACCCAGCCGCCTTCTGCGCAGTCGGAAAGGGGGAGCTGCGTACATGAGAGGAGGAAGGGAGGAGGAAGTGGCCCCTTCAGCCCATCCCGCCACTATGCCTCTTGGATTCGGTTTGGGCCTCTTGGAGGCTGATGCGGGCCTCTCGAGGGGCCTGCTGGCGGTCTCGAGGTCCATCTCGGAGCGAAGGGCTCGAGATGTCGGTTCGTGTTCCCCCTTTGGGGCCTGTCTTGGGACCCCCTTGGGGCCCTCCTGGGCCGTCTTGGAGGCATCCTTGGCAGACTTGGGGCCATGTTGGGCAGTCCGGGTGCGCTCAGGGGGGCCTCTTGCGCCGCCTTGGGGCGAACATCGGGAGCCTGTTGAGCCGTCCTGTAGCGTCGAAAGCCTGGAAAGGCGAGAGCACTAAAATCCTTGAAGACACCTAAATCAAATGAATGTGTTTGGCATCTCAGAGACCTCTTGGAACCCTCGTGGGGAGTCTCTGCGGCTTCTTGGGCCGTCTGTGCGCCATCTTGGGCGTGTTGAAACGAGATTTGGGCGACTCGGGTCTATCGTGGACGGTCGTGGGGGCCTCTTGAGCACTCTTGGCCCGTCATAGGGGCCCTCGGGCCTCTGGAAAAGTCACGCGCGGAAGCCCGACAGCGCGCTGGAGCGCGCGGAAGGGCGAGCATGTATGAATATATCTATATATAGGTATATACAAACGATGTGTGCATGTATGAATGCATGCTTTCATGTATACATGCATGCAGATCTGTATGTATGTATGCATGCCCATACACACGCACAAATTTATATACGCATATGTATGTGTGCATTTTGTGTATGTCTATAAATAAATATGTGTATGTATATATATATATGTATATATGCCCCCCCCCCCTCCAAAATCATACCTCTCTCTCTCTCTCTGCTTCTCCGTTCCTTCCCTTGCTCCTTTTCCGTTCCTTCTCGTTCTCATTTCCCTGTCCTTTTTCTCCAAACACAATTCCTCCTCCTTTCAGTTTCCTCCTCTCTGTAGCAACACCAAACCAATAATACACAGTGTTTGGCGCCCTCGGAGCAAGGAAACGCTGTGTATGTGTGTTTTGTTCTGATTCTTTCCTTAGGATGCAAGGAAACATCGTATGTTTGGTTATTATGTTTTTTTTGCGTTGGAAGCTCAAGTGCTCCCCGCGGCCTCCCCCCCAGCACCTCCTCCTTCTCCCCCTTCCTCGTTCCCCCTCCTTCTCCTCCTTTCCTGTTCCTCCTCCTTGTTGCAAAGCAAGAAAACCAAGGATACACAGTTTTGGGCGCCCTTTGGTGCAAGAAAACGCTGTATGTTTGGTTGTTCTGGTGTTATTGGCCTAGGATGCAAGAAAACACTGTGTATGCTTGGATATCCTGGTTTTTCCCCCACCCATCCTGTGGTATTGGGTCCTCGGTTTGAAGAGACGTCGCCCCGCGTTCTCCTCTCCTCCTCTCCTCTCCTCTCCTCCTCCCCCTCCTCCCCCTCCTCCCTCCTCCCTCCTCACACCACCATCATCGTTATCATCATCCATTTTGGCACACCCCTCACACGTTTCGTGGCCCCATAGGGAGCTCCGCCGAAGGCCCCAGTGCTGCCGCCCGCATGTGTCACGCACACCCAATTCGGCACACCCCTCACACGTTTCGTGGCCCCATAGGGAGCCCCACCGAAGGCCCCAGTGCTGCCGCCCGCATGCGTCCCGCACACCCAATTCGGCACACCCCTCACACGTTTCGTGGCCCCATAGGGAGCCCCACCGAAGGCCCCAGTGCTGCCGCCCGCATGCGTCACGCACACCCAATTCGGCACACCCCTCACACGTTTCGTGGCCCCATAGGGAGCCCCACCGAAGGCCCCAGTGCTGCCGCCCGCATGCGTCCCGCACACCCAATTCGGCACACCCCTCACACGTTTCGTGGCCCCATGCTGCAGGGACCGAAGGCCGAAGGCCCCAGTGCTGCCGCCCGCATGCGTCCCGCACACCCAATTCGGCACACCCCTCACACGTTTCGTGGCCCCATAGGGAGCTCCACCGAAGGCCCCAGTGCTGCCGCCGCATGCGTCCCGCACACCCATTTCGGCACACCCCTCACACGTTTCGTGGCCCCATAGGGAGCCCACCGAAGGCCCCAGTGCTGCCGCCCGCATGCGTCCCGCACACCCAATTCGGCACACCCCTCACACGTTTCGTGGCCCCATAGGGAGCTCCACCGAAGGCCCCAGTGCTGCCGCCCGCATGCGTCCGCACACCCAATTCGGCACACCCCTCACACGTTTCGTGGCCCCATAGGGAGCTCCACCGAAGGCCCCAGTGCTGCCGCCCGCATGCGTCACGCACACCCAATTCGGCACACCCCTCACACGTTTCGTGGCCCCATAGGAGCTCCACCGAAGGCCCCAGTGCTGCACGCTCCACCGAAGGCCCCAGCGGCGGCGCTCACATGCGCATGCGTCCCGCACACCCATTTCGGCACATCCCTCACACGCTTCGTGGCCCCATCATCCACCAGAGGCCCCAGTGGCGGCGCTCACATGCGTCACCCACACCCACCTAATTCGGCACACCCTCACACGCTTCGTGGCCCCATAGGGAGCTCCACCGAAGGCCCCAGCGGCCGCGCTCACATGCGTCCCCGCCACCCATCCCGGCACGCCCCTCACAACAACAGGTTTCGTGGCCTCATAGGGAGCTCCACCGAAGGCCCCAGTGGTACCGCCCGCATGCGTCACCACCCGCACCCAATTCGGCACACC